GCCATCGAACTGGCCATGAATTGTCACTATCCCTCCCTGGTGCCTTGCCTGTCTCAGGGGTCGACTGTGGGCAAAGCTATGCGGGCAGTGAAGGCACACGTGAAGGAGCCTAAGCTTGGGCCGTGATTGTTTGGAAACAGTAGTTTGCAAGTACTGGTGAGAGGTGAAATATGGCTACACCAGTCAAGTTGGCTTACCTCTTCACAGGGGAGATCGATACACATATGACTGTACTGTCATTGCATGCCTAGGCGAACTCTAATTATAAGCTTTTCGCCCTTATGAAAGCCAACCATGTTAAATGGGCCCTGCCTCAGGACACCAAACGTCAAAAACTACATGGCCTGACACGCCGCCTTGGCAGCCTCTCTGGCAAGAATGATTCCCGGGATTGGTGGAGAGCTTTGAAGGAAGGTCCTGAGCTTTGGTTATTCTAGATAAGGCGTTTGTTTTTCTACTTTGTGGGTTTTTAAAACTGTGCACTACAACTCCTGTTGACATCTCCCCATCTCCTGGAATTGCAATGGATCGATCCACTGATCTGAGGCGATGGAAACTGTTCGAATCCCGGTGAAATACATAGACCTCCAAGATGGGGAGACTAAGTTCAAGTATGAAGACTACCCCATCCTCGACCCCCATTCCATTGTGACTTTCTTGATGGAATCTGCTGGATTGAAGATACCAGAGGAACACATTCGACAGTATTGGCAGCATGCAGCCGAACATGGAGAGCCGTTTGCTGCAAACGTTGACCACAGCAGTGTGCCTTTGGGCCTTTATGGTGATTCGGCTCGCGTGAACACGACGTTCGGGCATGTCAATCTAATTGGCATTTTTGTCAATCTGGTACTTTGGTGTCCGCGATCTGTGCGATCCAGCAGATTTCTAGTGTTCACAATCGCTGAACACAAGTGCTGGAAACACCACAGCCTCGACCTTGCCTATAGGCGGATCGTTTGGAGCATCAACAGTCTCATGAGCGGTGCTCACCCGGATCGGGGGCCGTACGGTGAACCCTTACCAGCCCATCTTGAAGCATTGTCAGGGAGGCGGTTTGCATACCGGTACGCTTTGACAGAAGTCCGTGGAGACTGGCAATGGCACAAAAAGACATTTCGGTTTCATCGGTGCGCATGGAACGGAATAAAAATATGTTTTCAATGCGAAGCCCGATCTTCTTCGCAAGACCATCGTGATTTGTACTGGATGTACGATGACAACAGTTGGGACAGCAACCACTTTAACTTCAACCAGTTTGCAGCTGAAAGGATGCCCCCTGAAGGAATCAGTGCCATGCTCCAATATAGTCAAAATTTACATTACACACATAGCACATTTTGTTTTTTGAGTTGTTGGTTCCAAGTTTGAAGATGGACAGTGCTTGTGGTGACTGTTTCACCCATAAACATGGTTTGAAGCTGAGCGCCCAAGAGTTTATCCTTGTTGGAAATAAAGTTCACTGAGGTCCCTTGTTGGGCATTCGCAACCTGCATCCTTCATGCATTCGTTGGTGCTTGATGCACGTCGTGCATCTAGGGCTATTGTACAAAACAAATGGGTCGGGTTTGTTTTCTGGCTTATTTCAGCATCTGCTTTCTTTTTGTGAAACGCAACTGTGACTAACATGCAGGTTCAACATGGTTCAACCATCGGTCTCATGTCCCTTTATTGTTTTGCTGCAGCTGAGGAATTTGCTCCTCAGATGTGGCTTCTTTGGAAATGAGCCCAACATTCATGTCTCTGTGAAACTGTCACTGGCATATCGGCACTTCAAAGGGTTTTGCTCTGCGCGAAAGGTTGAGTGCAGTCAACCAGAGTTCAGCGAAAAAATGGTGACTTGTTTTAATTAATTTCCCAACCAATACTACTAATGCAAGTGTGTGTGCATAGGGGGGGGCATGTGCCAACCTGAATTTGCAGGCTGCAAAACATTAAACGTTTCTGTATTTTGCCGTCTCACTGGCCAACTGAGTTCTTCAAGAAAAGTGGTGATGTGCTGCTGACAGCAAAAGCCTACAACGGCCGCATTATTTTGGAGTGGCTTTCGGACACGGTCTGCAGCGCTAGCACTCATGGAGGTTATGCTGATATGGATTCCCGCTTCTTTTTGATTGCAGCGGCATTGAAACATATCTGGCCATAGCAAGTGCTTTGACTAGTTTTCTTGAGGCACTCACCGACGGCCCCCGCATGCCCCCACTCGTTTGATAGGGCTCCCTACTTTCCGGCTTTGTCGAAGCTGAGGAGACACATGGCCCGCTTCCTGGGGCAATTGGAAAAGGCTGGCAGGTATTTGCAACCCAACAGCACTGGTGTGGAGGGTTGGGTTGCAAAGCATTCAAAGGACAAACAACACCTACTATGCTATGTCACATGTACCGAAACTAAAGCGATGCCCGAATGCATCTGGTGCATTATTGGTAGAACCAAATGTTGTTCCCTTGCAACTTCGATATGGTTTTGGAGCCAAACTCAGGACCCCTGAGGAAGCTGTGAACATTTTCAACGACGGCAAGAAGTTCCTCGATATGCACAACATCCTCTCAATGATGTCAAACAGGCTGGGTTGGGTTGCAAGTAGAACATACATGGTACATGGTTATATCGCAAACCCTGTTGGATGTTTCCTGAGCCTCCAAATATATAAAGCACTTTGAGCTGCCACTCATGATGGGCACATGCATGCATCCCGGGCTGATGTCCTGCTGTGAAAGGCTTTGCATCCGCGAATGGCGCATGACTCCAAAGTGCCATGACTCATGTCTGCATTTTATGTTTTCATGTGACACCATTGGACGCACAAAAATGATCACTCTCAAATCTGTGTACGACTCTTCTGCAATGTTTGTAAAATGATTTATAGATTGCCTGGGAGGATTGATCCATTTATATCTTAGCTGAGGCAATGTGGCATTTATGCAGCTACTCAGTGCTTCTTCGGCGAAGCTTACCCAAATCTATCATTTGTTGTTGTAAGTTGTTACACCAGTTGAACATCCTGCAGGGTCTCACTGCCTGCATGCCAAAAGCTCCATGATGCACTGTGGTCCAAGGAATGAACCCACGATTCTTTCATGGATTCACAGATGAGGATGCGATGCAATGGATTAAAAGCCACATAGCTGATGTTGGCCAATGAGTTCAACAGAGTGATGTGGGATTAGTGCATTGTTGGCTAAACTGCTTCAACTAAATGTTGGAAAGAGTGTTTTACTTTTTGTGCATGAGGCACCTACCTCAAAGCGCGCCCCACAAATGCAACCATGTGGATCATGCGCTGTGGAAGGCTCAGGACCTGTTTGAAACAACAAGCGGAAAGCCTTTTGTGCTCCCTTAGGATCCTGAATGGTTTTGATTGTTTGATTGCAGGATCTGGTCGACCTACCTCAAAATCAAACGGCTACTCAGCTAATTGGGTCAAGTCTACCATGAAGGATCATTGGTGAAATAATGTGAGATGCAGCTAAGGCTGAACCAGCAAGTCGCAGAGCGGCTTCAGCGAAGCGGATGAGTGATTGAGAAAAAGTGATCTTTCCGGAGAAGCTGTAAAACATGCATTGGGAAAACGTGGTTATATCAACGTCTTTTGTTTGAAGTGTTGAGGGAAGCCCAGGGTATATATATATATATCATGTGTGGATTTTTTGAGGATTCCCAGGTCAACTTCACTGAGCCAGGAATGATTCCGATGTCCATGACCTGGGGAATTCCTCAATGGGGCTGGACTTACCCAGGAATTCCCATGTGTTGGACTGAGCCTCCCTGGAATCGCTTGACTGTGGAGTTCACCACCTGAACTCGGCATGACGGTGAAGACCAAAGGTCTTCGGAGTTGACGACACGGGTCTTCCGAGTCGACGATTCCTGGGTGACGACATGGGGTGTGTTTGTTTGTTGTTTGTTTGATGAAATCTCACCAAGAATGATGGTGGTTCCGTCCAAAAAAACACGTACGCATTGACTTCTTCACAAGAGGTGAAGGTGAAGTGGAACATCGTTCTCATCGTTCTCATCGCCATTTGGGCGGAACATGGGGCTCACATGGGCTCGCAGGTAGCCCTTTTGGAGCGAGACACTCGTCTCAGCATAAGGAGGTCCGGCTTGAACCGAGCAGTGGTTGGTGTCCACTGGGATTTAAGAGTGATAATGTCCAACTGAACCAAACATAATACTGTCAATCATAGAATACCATCACATTATATGACTGATTTGAAGATAAGCCATCAAGTAGTGGCCCAGAAGGAGCTCTTGACAATGTTCCTCCACCAAGCGCTCCATAGGGTGCAGAGATGTGCAGAGGCCAGGCAGAAGAGGTGCTCCTCGGAGCACTTCAATATAGAATTTGTTGTTGATGATCCGAGATTATGTTTAAAAAAGGGTACACCCCAGGGGTCACAAAGGGGTGGTGTTCTTTTTCTATTGGGCAGCCTTATCCTCCAATAGGCACCCCTTTGTGACTGCTGGCCCAAAGATCAGTGGAGTTTTTAATCCGCCTGGTTCCGCCGCAAGTTTCCAAGTCCAAGTGAGGAGCTTCAAATCCAGTCTGAGCGTTTTCTCGAAAAACGCTCCACGCACCACGCTCCACGCTCCCAAACCGAAAGCCGGCGGCCCGGAGAAACCACACCCAAACGCCGGTCGGACCGTGCGTCGGACGGCCACAAAGGCATGAGACTTGAATGGATACCTACATGGAGGAATGGATGGGTCATCATTGGAGTAGATGTTTGCAACTATTCCAAAGATGGAGTTTTTTTCTGTTTTACGCATTTGATGTCATATGTTCACGGGGGAAAAGGTACTGGGTAGTATATGTATAACATACCGTATTCCAGGGGTCACAAGACGGGGTGGTGTTTTGTCCCATCCAGGGGCCGTGGATGTTCTGGGCACCCTTCTCCCTTCTCCTCGCCGTTCGGCACCCCGTCTTGTGACTGCTGGTTGTTCGACTCTAGCGACGTAGTCGCTCGGGATCTTCTTTTCATCTCTTCACTCGCCGCAGTCGTCTCTTTGGACCAAACGGCGCCGAAGTTCCTTCGCGAATCGCGCTCACCCGCTGCGTTCGAGAAGCTGGCGTTGTCTGGGGCGGTGGGCCAGCTGGAAGGATGGTGGGGGACCTGTAGTTCCATGAAGTTGGGTGCTTATAATGGAGGTTAGGGGTACCCAATCATTATGGATAAACCAGACTGCTGTGGGTGAGAACAGCTCCCATGCGCAGAACTCGGTGTAGACGATGTCGCGTTCCCAAGCGTATGAGCCAACGGCTGTGAGTCATTGCACCTGGAGATTGGTAGATTGACCTGGTAGTCTAGTCTGCTCATGTGTCAGGGTATCCCAATCTTGACCCAGTTGGAGCCAGTTGATGCCAGTTGGCTCGGCTTTTTAGCCGGAGGGGCTTCACCTCGCTTTGGAGGATCGGCTTCCTTGATACAAGTCAGAGTTCATCGGAGGGACATGGAAGGTGCAGATGACTTGATTTGATATGTTATACGAGGGCCCCCGGATTTGGGGGTGTCAAATAAGAGATGATTTGGGATGTCCGTTGACCACCAATGCTGCTGGACTCTATGCCTCAATGAAGTCGTCCTACAGCGCTTGCTTCTTGCTGCTCGTTGGTTTTCAGAGGCTGGGTTTCCAGAAACCTGCTCGCACAATGTTCTGGGTTACAAGCTTTGGAGTTCAAGAAGTAGCACAGAAGGCAAGACAAAGGACGGACAGAGGTGCACCTAGAAAAGACATCACACATTGTGGATGGTTGGTTTCAGCTGCTTGTCAGCACGCTGACGAGCAGCTGAAACCGTCAACAAGGGACCAAACAGTGTACGCACCGAAGTATTTGCCGCATGCCAACCAATGGGTTCCCTTCTTCCAAGGGGTCTTTGGGAGGTCTCCCTATTTTAACAAATTACAGTCCCTGGGGATCCAAGTACCTTCTCAGAAGGTACTTGGACCCTCCAAAACCTACATAACAGTGTCTCCAATCACCTTCTGAGAAGGTACTTGGATCCCTAGGGAGTAGCATAGATGTAAACCAGTACCACCCGGTTTGGGTGGTGCTGGTATATGATATAGCTTGCTAACATATGCTAACCTACACCCAAGAAGCTTGCGGTGAATGGGAAGGTGTTTTTTTGCTTGGGCAGCGGCTTTGTCCCACCAAAAAAAAAGCAAAGCAAACACAGTAACCCAACACCTGCAGGTCCCTGCATTCCTTTACACAAGGTGGCAAGGTTTGAACTTGCTAGGGAGACCATTGTGCCTTTTATCTGTAGGCAATGTTGCCTTCAAAACGCATCAACCTGTGTTTGTTTCTAGCCTTTTGCATCGCCAGGTACACTATAGGCATGGGGGCTCAATGCGTGAGGGTTGATGGCCCAATCGAAGATTTCAAGAGCCCGGGCATTGTGATGCACCTCGGCCCAGAAAGTGAGTCGAGCGATGGTCGGTGGTCCAGCGACCATCCAACTCATGGTTCCTGACAAGCCTTAGGCTTGGAGCAAATCCTGGCAATAAAGGAGGTCCCTGGCACCCAAATCACCCCGTTTTTGGTGCTCGTACCCCCCAAAAATTCAGGATTATTCAGGATTGGTGTTGTTCCTTTTTAAGACATCGGTTTGCTGGATGACCTCCTTTGAAAAAAGCGAGTACGGTATCACGGTGGCACGGTGGACACCGGTGGCATCGTTCGGAGGTGGTACTTCAACGGCTTGGGCCAGGTTGGCGACCTTGGAGCACCAAGCAACCACCCAAAGGAGGGTCATGTTTGTTCCAGGATGTTCCATGGTATATACACCTAGCCCAGGGTCGGAGTGACCGACCTGTTTTGATAGGACAACAAAAAACACATCTTTTGAGTGGTTGGTGGTGTAAAATAGAGGTCACTCAGGTTCTAGGCAGATACCACTTTCCGTCTCGGACCATTTTGACCGATCAGACTAGGGGTGAAGATGGGTCCCAGTTTCGGCCGTTTCGGCCGCGTGGATGTGTTCAAAACGATTCACAGGCCCCGGTGGCAGAAGTTTAGAGAAACTTGAAGCATCATCAAGCCTCCACTGTTCGACTATATATTAACAGAATTTAACTGGTGCCACCCCCCAAAAAACAACTTTCAGTGGATTTCAAAGGTAGATGGGGGGTCCACATAAACCACCGAACTCGGGGAGCTGGTGCCGTTGACTCGCCTCGCAGTCCACTTTTGGCTGCAGCGTGGTTCGAAGCCCATCGCCTCCAAAGAAACCACAACCCTGAGCCAAGGCTCCCAGGGAGAATGCATGAAGAAGTGGTGCAAGGCCCAGTGGTGAGCGGGGCGATTTTCGGCACAGGAGCTTGGGGGGTATCTCGATGGCCATGGGGTTCCGCACCTCAACACACAGGTTGAGGGGCATGAGGTGAAGTACCATGTGGAAGTGAAAGTACCAGGACCTTCCAAGCCCGGTGGTTTTGGGACCTTCCACACCTCTTAGATGATTTGGGACCTAGGCGTATCGCATAGACACCAACACCAGTCCATGGTGTCGGTCCTGGAGGAGATCCACTCTGAATTGAGGCACAGAAAACCGGCCGAAAGGGAGAAACAGCAGACTCTACCGACGGGATTGGACCGGCGGCAGCGTTTGCTAGGCCTTGATGATGCTTCAGAGGAGGCCCCAATCAGGGAGTAGGGTGGGCAAGTCTTGAGCAATGCAGTGCTGTCACATGCTGTCACACTTCAAGTAATTTGTGAAGTATGACTTACAACAGGACACTTGGAGAAGCCTATGGGTGCGTCTCTATGAACAAGTAACTTTGCTTGGGCAGGCCATTTAAGCACATGCAGTCCTTTGTCGCTTTCTTAGGGTTCTGAACGCACGGGGTCTCAAGTTCTACCAATGAATGGAGGCCATGGCTATTAGGTTGGAGGCCATGTCAATGTATGTATACCGTAAATTAACATGCCAGTCCCATGCATGATCTGGGCAACTACATTGTTAGTTCAAGGTGAAAGAACTAAGATATTGTAATTACTGGAGTATCTCTATATCTCATATATAGCAAATTCAACACACGGTGCAATCATCGAAGGACCCCATCATCGCGCCCCCACCGGCCCTTCACTCAACCCTTTTGTATGCATTCACTGGCCAAGATCAACCCGCCTCAGCCCGCCCCCTTCCCAGTACCTTCTCAGGTTGTATTTTTGGAGGGTCCAAGTACCACCCACCCTCGTCCGCTTCGCCAGTCCACGCGCTCCTCTTCACCTCAGTCCACGGCTGCCTACTAGTCAGCCTGCCCTCCTCCCTACCCGGCGGACTGACCCGGTCAGGATAGCAGCCCCACTCCAACGAACGTGGGCATGTGCGCCCGGAACTGGACGGTCGTCGTTTTCGGTGGCCCCCGAAACAGGGCGGACCCGGGGCGAGAGTGGTGTTTTGATTGCTTCAGGTAGGTCCCGGTGGTGCTTTTGATATAATTTTGAAGGTGTTTGGATTTAAAGAAGATAAATTGTAGGGCTGGTATACAGGAATCTGAAACAGTTGCAACAATGAAACAGTGGCAGCAAAGAGCTTCAGAATGTACCATGCCATAACTACAACCGCAGAGAATCGCAGAGATATATGTTAAATGTGTTTTCTTTATCCATAGGTATCCAAGTATTGTCAGCAGGTGATTGGAGACACTGTTACTGTATGTAATAGTTTTTGAGGGTCCAAATCCAAGTACCTTGGTTTATGCAGGTCACCAGCTTCTGACAGATAGGTGGAAGTGATCTACAGAACTCAATCTGTCTTTTGGTTCACAAAGCATGCGAGGTTTATTATAGACCGAAAAAAGCTCACTGGCAGAGGCGGAGAAGATCTATCCTCTGGCCTTCCAGGATAACAAATGGTTGACCTGGTTTTGGAGAGTAAAACCCATGGTTGTGGGACTCAGACCAAGAACAAATTGCTTGTTGAAATCCCAGCTTCCAGAAGAGATCTCCTTTGAGACCGTTTGCCAAATCACCGCCTTTAGAGAAGCTGCTCGCAGCTCCGCAGCGGACAGTTTGCTCGAAACCGCGGCCGGCGGCCAGACCCCTTTGTCATCAACCACTTTACATCACTGAAGAGGACAATGATGAAGCCACTCCAGCCGGGGGCTCCCAGAAAGCGCTCCAACCCAGAAGCCTTGGCTTTTCGGGTGTGTGTGGTCCTGGATTTTGGTTGCTCGATCGAGCTCGACCCTTTCGGAATTGTGAACCTCTTTGGGAGTGGAGAAGAAGATGTTTGCTACGACCCCAAAGAAGCAGCCTGAGACAGGTCGTGCCAGGTGTTTGGGACAGGTCGTGATTGTTCCGGTCGTGAGGTCTTTCACCGTAGGACGTCTTGGGCTCGGTGTTATCGCTTCGGTCGACGGGCGGGCTGTTTGAGAACAGCTGCGACTGGACTTCTCGACACGAACGAAGCCTACGATTCGTGGGTGGACGCTCTTCGTGGGTGGACGCTTCTTCTAAATGCTTCCATGAGTTGAACGTACGCAGACGTTTGCAATCGTTTGCACACTATGTGGCTGGCGTGCGAGCCTGGATCTGGATCTGAAGGGGAATGCTGCCACGGGCCGTTTTTATTTTTTCAGGAGGCTTTTGGCAGAAACAACGTTTTAAAGCATGTCAACTGGCGAATGTACATGAATGTACAAGACAATCATCAGCCAGGTCGTTGGACACAATACCATCGAGATAGGGGATGGAATTTCCTGTTACAGAATCGCGGGGGTTGGGACCCACTGAAGAATTCCAACCCCAATCCATCGAGAATCGAGATGGTATACGTAAAAAGACCGATCATCCCCGATCCATCGAGATGGCATACGGAAAAGACCACGCCGCTCGTTGAATCTACACCGGAAGAAAAACTGATTCGCAGGGAGGGAAACTCCCTGACCTGGCTCTTCAGAGAGGGAATCTCCCACCTGCGAGCGAGTGTCCTTCAACTGTCAACTGTCAAGTGAAGCATTTTGAAGCATCTTGCATCTCAATCGGGTTCATGTCGTGGGTTCCCTCATCTATTTGAGACACTTTGTCAAGGGTAAATATGAAATATGCCAGTCCCATGAGTTGTGTTTGGGGCCACTTGATTCACAAAAACGCTTTTAGGATCCAGCAATGGCGCCAGAGAATATCGTCTGGGATGTTGGCCGAAGCCCATTATCAGTAACAGTAAATCACATGTTATCGTCTGGGATGTTGGCCTATCCACTGGTCCCTGGTAATGGGATATGCCAAAGTCAGACCCCCAAACAGAGGAAAACACACGAAGAAAGCGACTGCCGAGACCGCTGAAGGTGGTGATCCCTGGACTACTACATCCGTGCAATGCTTCTATTGGTTCCGCCGCTGTGTGCAGCAAAGGGTTTCTTTTCTTGCCGCTGGTGAACGGGAAGCAACCCCTCCCGTGCTGTCTCAACCTTTTTTGGGGGCTTGGAACGGTTGGGATGGTGGGCACAATCATAATGAATCGCTCGTCGTGTCAAAAGTATCGATAGTTCGGGCCGCCGAATATGTTCAGTTTTCCAGGGCTTACTTACCACTTGCTAGGTAAGCTACACCTGAATCTGCTAACAATAGGTCAATAGGCAAAATGTATTCTTGTGTTGTTTTCTATAGATGAACATGCAGAAACGTTGCACAGTTGGAAGACCCAGGTATTACTTGTCACGTTATTTGGACCCTTTAAATAGTGTCAGCACGATGTGAGGATGGTTAGTAACAAATACAATTTAGACAATTTTGGTGAATGATGGTGCTCCTATGTGGCCACTCGGTGGCGCTGAACAAATAGAGTGCACATTGCAATTGGTCATTCCGTGCCCAATTGCTCCATCTATGGCCTACATTCACCACCAAAAAGAACTGTAGGCCATGGTTTGCATGGAGCCGATGTGATTCGACAAGTCGGTGCCAAGGTGTTTTGTGACGAGTTTCAATGCATCACTGTCCCGTCAATCATCCGATGACCTAGGCTATGCCTAGTCAGCCGTTGTCAGATCGCTAAGATCTTAGATGTTTATAGACGTTATGGTTATTAGATTGTTTAATTAGTGAAGCTACTGGGTGACCAAAGGAGTTTAGCAAAGTGCAAACAAGTATATTGTTTTTTATAGAAGTTTCCTAGCAAAACTTCAGATTATGAGTTTTGTCGTGCTGTTAAAAGCTATGTTTCAGGACCCGTTGCCAGATCGAACATTGGGTCCGGAAAACTGTAGATCCAAACCAAACAGCATCCCCTGCATGCACAGAATCCTGGGTCTTGCGACCAAGGCTTTTCCTACCTGCGACCAGGGTCAGGGTCGAAACTCTGGGAATTTGCCACGATGCTAACAGAACCCACCTAGTCTCTAGGGGTCCAGGAGCATCCGAATCGGATGTCCTTTTGCCCCCAATCGAAATGGAAGTACATACTCGCCTGAAAAGCTAGAGATCCACATACCTTCTCAGAAGGTGATCCCTATAGGGATAGCAATCCCCTCGGGCGAACCAACTGCCAAACCCGATCGTCTGACGATCAGACATCGCTGCTGTTGGTCCGATCGGCCTAGGTGACGTCTGTAAAGCCATGCAGGAGACTGGGTCCACGGGGGGAGAGGACTTTAATTTGTCCTGCGTTCTAAGCAACGGAGCTGGGTCCCCTGGTTTGAAGTCACTTACGAACTCCAACCACTGACTTTGAAGGAGCTGGTGTGTGTTTTTGGATGTAATTTTGGAAAGAAATCAAACGTGTGTGTTATGTTTTTGTTTTATGGTCAAGCAAAACCTGTATATCCTCATCCTTTCCCTGTCAATGTCCAAGCTTCATGTCCTTGTATCATTCAGGTGTCCTTTCTCATTCACGATTATTGTAGTATTACAAGCACGTTTCTACAAGGACTCCACCCCCAGGTCGCTGCATGTCGCATGTCGCTCCACCCAGCGGCATGTCGCATGTCGCTCCACCCAGCGGCATGTCGCTCGGCGGAGGATCCAAGATCAAACGCCGGAAACGCTGACGTCCCGCTGCTCGGCAGAACGCGGTGGATTCAGCGGCGTTCTTCTCCAGTGTAGCCGGTGAAGTGGGCTGGGCTGGGCCGGTTAAGCTTATTTCTAGCAGGAAATGCCATGAGCGAACACTATTTGGTGTGTTTTGTTGTTCCGCTAGTTTTTTTTGGGGGGTTTATATGAACAAGTCCTCTTTAAAGGCTCCTTTTTCCGGGGTCGTTCATGGAGACCCCTGGCGGGTGGTCTAGGTAAAAACATATTGAATAGTTCAAAGTTCCGTTGTATTGTTTGCGTTTATCAAGGCTTGGAATGCATCCCTACACCTCCAAGTACCTCCTCAGAAAGTATTTGGACCCTCCAAACCCACCCCAAACACCTTCTCAAAAGGTACTTGGAGGCCTAGGGCATGGAAGACCGATGAGATTGTTTGGTTCCTGCTCGGATTTTTGCCGTTAGATTCCGGGTGGTGTTTGTGGGATGGGGAGAGCTCTGAGCGACAGACATGGTCTAGCCATCTCATGCTGGTGCCACCGTCACGTGGTTGTGTATCATTAAAGAACACTGAAAACACACGTAGCGGCGGGTTTGGGGTCAGACTTTAGTGAGCCACAACCTGTAGAGAAGTTGACAACCATGGTTGAAAAAGAGCATTTTTGAGGGGGTGTTCGATATTTTTTGAGGATTTCATTGTTGGATGGTTCTTGAACTCTTCAGAAGTGTGTGCGTGTTTGTATCAGAATAGAGAGACCCCAGCCCTATGGGCTTTACATGGGCTTTATACGTTGTTCCTTCGACTCACGGGGTTCGGCGGTTCGGCCTTCTCCCGTCCGAGACCAAGCTGTTGTTGAGCTGTTGAGCGACGGCACAGGATATGCTGTCGCTTAACACCAGGAGCAAGAAACCATAGGATGGGTGGGACTGGAGACTGGGGACTGGGAGGCTCCAGCAACACAAATCCAATCAAATCCAAGAACCCGAGAAGGTTTTTTGGAATCTTCGGCCTGACATGCTGAAGCAAGCTCTGAGCTGAAGCTTTGCTGGCCTCATCCCTGACTGAGGACTCCTTGTACAGAAGAAGCTGGTCGCCCATGAGGATGTGACATTCCACAAGGAGCTTTGTAACACTTTAAAGAGCTTCTTGGCGCGATCTGAGACATACTCCATGCGACGATCGGCGCATCGGCGGTCGAAGTCGAAGGGTTTTTTCCGTTCGTTTCGGTATGGAGTCGTCAGATACCGCGGGGGATAAACTGGAAAACAGCAAGTAACTTGGTATGCGTGGTGGTGCTTTCACTGTGCTGGGGGTGCGTTCTTTCCATTGGTATCCGTTGGTTTGAGTACTGTTGATAGAACATCCCACAGCACCTGAGCCGGACTTTCTTTGGAAGAATTGCTACATAATTGCTCCAGTGATCTCCAGTGTAAAGTCCTCTATTGCACTTTGTTTTTTTGTACGATCCCTAGGGTTCCAACCACCTCCTGAGAAGATGGTTGGGGTGGGATTGGGGGGTCTAACCACCTTTTGAGGAGATGGTTGGAGACTTATGGGATGTTCATTAATGTTCCTACGTATATGTTCCCAGCTGGTGTGCTATACTTGGGATCTTGGTTTGTGCCACGTTGCTTTCACCACCCAGAAAAAGAAGGTTGCAACACCTTTAGCTTGGGTACACTCCCTGGATCCAACATGGAACATCATGGAACTGGATGGCCTGGCCCCAAAGTAAACACATAAGAAACAACAACCAAACAGCGGCGTTTTTCACCATCTTAGTTTCGGAGTGTATTCCTTTTTCCCACGTCCAATTAGTCCAATTCTCACGAAACAAAAGGATTGCCATCCAGCCAACCAGCCATCCCGTCGCTCCCGGGTCGCTGGCTGCGGGGTGAGGTACAGTATGCCTCGCTGACTGGAAAGGACAAACGGCGCCTGGGCCGCAAGGGCCTGGCCACCGTGCGCGGCCGGTGCGCTTCCTGCGAGGGGGCACCGGCCCAGTGTCTAACGGGATGGGTGTCTAAAGGGAGGGTCCCCATGGCGAGTCCCAAGATTTCCAGGTGTGGACCCTGTGTGATGTGGAGTTTTTTGGGCCAGTGGGAATGGTTCGACTGTGACTGTGACTTGAATCTTCTCCACTTCATCGAATTTCTGGGTTTCTAGACGCCCGTTTGTCAATTCGTTTTTTGTGGCAAGTGAGCATGTCAATAGCGCCCTAAAACAGTGGGGCAAGCCAAGGGTCTGGTGGGTGAGCCAGTGGCAGTGCCTCTTTTTGCCAGGGACAACTTTTTTTCTCGGCAGAATCTGAGGTCGTTGCGAAGAGAATTAAGAAGAGCCTTTTGAAGGAGGCCCAGCCCAGCGGCCATGGAGGGTGCTTTTACAGTGCGAAAAGGATAACGCAAAAAACTGGGAAATGGGAAATGGGAAACACATAAAATTGGGACTAATTAAATTTGTTCATCAACCGCAGGGGTGCGCGAAGACAGGGGTATAGTTTTGTGTTACCATGATTAAATTGATTCTGAAGAGAAATCAGAGGTGTAATAAAGAGCTCCATAAAGGCGATGATCCATCCAGCACTTGCTACACATCAAATCGCTCACTCTGAAGGGGTGCAAAGGCTTTGATGGAGGAGTGGGTCCTAGGCCATGAAAGGATGGCAGGTTCTGAGTCAAACAACTGAGGAACTTGCTTTGATTTTTTAAGGCACTTCTGTCGCCCATTTTGCAAGCAGAGCCATCAGCCATCCCGTCAGTGACTTTTGTCCCTGAAAGGTCAAGGTCGCTTGGGGATTGTTGAACAAACACCCCCACGCGGACACTGTCAGTATGCGGCGACACAAGTGGCGACAGGGAGACCTGTTAAGAAGAGGCTCCGCAAAGTATGGTACTCGTATACGGCAGATGGTGCTGTACTCCCTGAAGCTCCAACATGTTTGGCATGTGTTGATCAGTCTCCGTGTTCACTGTTCGCTTGATGGACGAGGCAAACGAGGCCAACGTGACGATGCTAGACGTTCGCTGTTGGACGGACGGATGTGTTCCTGCAAAAGACTTGGGGGTCCAATTGCTGTCCATCCTTTACAAACAGTGCTTGTTAGGGGTCCAAACCCTTGCTATGCAGCGTCAGTCAGAGATCCAATAGAGGTTCCTGTGATGCTTAAAAGAAGTATGGAAACTACAGCAAAAGCGGATGACAGGGTCCAGCTCTCTCCCCTCTGAAGAGGGGCACCAGATGTTTCACAGTGCAACACGGTTGCTATCGCGGGCAATCCGTGTATGGAAGTGTGTACAGAAAATAGCCTACATTCACCCCTTTTCAACCACCCCAACTGATCGGTAAATATGCAAGCCCCACGGAGTGTTTGAGTATGTGCGTAAACATCTTCAGAGAGACATCCACTTTGCGATTTGGGTCATGTTTCCATGTGTCTCTTTGCTTGAAAACGGTTAAAATGACTAAAACGATCTAATACTTCACTGTTTAAGCCTGGTATAGGCTTACAGGCTTCCAGGATTCCAAGTCCAAACCATTTGGATATTGCCCTGGTGACCCGCCGAAACCGCCTTCCACCGCCGAAACCACCACCACCTCAGCGCTGGCTGTGTGCCTCTCAGGAGGATGCCAAAGCCATTGAGACTCGTGCGCCTGGGTGGCCGAAGTTGAAAAAAAAAGGCCCATGACGTCTGACCCGCCTCCAGTCGTACCGTACTCGAGAAGGTGGGACGAACCGGGTGGGTGGGTGTACTTTTTGGGGAGGGAGGTACGACTGGAGGTGTAGGGGACTCCTTTTTCCCGGACCTTGGCCTCTAGTCGTAACGTACTCGAGAAGGTGGGACGAACCGGGGTGGATGCGGTTCCCAAAACGTCGGGTCCAGTCATACTGAACCGGTTTGGCGGTACGACTGGAGGTGTAGGGACTCCTTTTTTGAAAGGATCCGACCATCTTCTGGGTTTTTTTGGGCGGTTTTCAATTAGATCCACATACCGAACCTGGGAAGGTGATTGGACACATTGTTTTGCAGGTGCCAAAACGTCCAGTCATACCTTCTGAGGTACGGTGGCAGTGGATCCCTATAGTATAGGGATTAGATTGGCTATGGCTTTAAGACCCTACACCTCCCTGGGGGGGTCTTGTGAATCATCAGTCCACCTTATTCTCACTCAGAGGCGTCATGTATATCCTGCATGAAGACCACCACAACCACCAAATAAATGTGTGTATTTTCATAGGGAGGTCTCCCACCAATGGGTAGGCTGGTCTATTTTCCGAACCTTCTATGGGGTCGTTGCCGGCGGTCGGTCTCCCTATTTGAGCTACACACCAAGCATATGGAGGCTGGCAGCTCTGAGACTGAGAGGAGTTCCATTTCGGGAAACTCGGGATCGACTCGTTGCTTTCGTTTGCAAGAAAAAACAGCAACTGGGCAAAGCTGTTGTGTTGCCGAGGACGTGTCGATGAGGGAGATGCTGCACGAATTGAAGATTTTCACCACGATCAGCCATCCTTGCAGCTGAGAATTGGATCGATGGGTGATGGGGCGAGTGACTTGAAACAAGAAACAGGTATGTACCAAGACCCACACGGGGTGGTTGCGACACACCCCTTCACCTTTAAGGCTGCCATCCCAATGGGAACTTTTTGGCCAACGTGCATCTTCTTTTTTGAGAGAGCAGCAGCCCCATTCTGGTAAAGCACTCCAGCCAACAAGCAAGTAAAACACAAACACATCTACTCACCTAACCAACCAAACAACCAACGGAATGAAAAGTACACCTGGAGCACACAAACGCGACTGCCAATCCAAGAATCACCCAAAAAGAAGTGCATCAAACAGGGCAGTCAGTCTTTGGCCTGTCCTTTTGCCCAGAAATGTTTTGTGCCGTCCAAAAACGGGTGACAACATGTGTGTCGTTTTGTGTTCAAGGCAGCTTTCATGTGTTTAGATGGCTGAAGACAACTTGTCAATTATAACATATAGATCGATACAGTACGATCGATCAGCGCAGTCCTCATGTCATTCAAGAGTGTTGGGGCCCGTCGGTTGAACATCTATCGCGCTGACTAGCAAGCCAACCGTGGGTTCCGAGACACTGTAGCCTATCCAAGTGTTGGGTCCAAGGTCCGGAGATCCATACCCCAGTCGTACCGAACCTCAGGTTTGGTGATTGGAGGCACTGTGATATAGGTGCGGGTCCAAGTATATACCTTCCCAGGACCATCGGTACGAAAACGGATCCCCAGACCATCCATGTCGTCTCATGCGGATCCCAACCGTCCATCCCGTCCCAGGAGTCGTGTCGTTGGATTTCACCCAGCTGAGGTATTGTGAACTTTATCGGTGCTGGTTTCGAGAGGAGCGGCGTTCACACGCGAGAACGCGACGCGTGTGAACGCGACGCGTGTGTGTGTGTGTGTGTGTGTGTGTGTGTGTGTGTGTGTGTGTTCCGTCTGGTTTGTTTTGTTGTGTTACCACCCACCTGTGACGACGTACAGGTGGTTGCAGGGTGAAAGCAGGTGACTTGTTCAAAGGCAGGGGCTTTCAGAGATCTGAATATTAGCAGATCTGACTCGACAAGGACATGAGGTGAAACGACGGTATTATTTTTCAAAGTGGGAGGGTAAAAAGACAAAACACACCAAACAAATCATAAGCGATCGATCTTGAACGGGAGGTCAAGCCATGCGATGCGTTGTCATCTCCTATTGCATCCTGTCTCAAGCTGTAAAGTTTGTCAGACAGGTATGGCGGGCGGTTCGTTGTGTGGTCGACTTTGTTTGGCCAAACTTGCTTGGTCGCTCTATCCCTAAAACCCTTGTGCAAACTTCCACCCAAACGCCCAGAGTCAAGGAGACACCCCCTGTTTTTCTGATGGTTTTAATGAAGTCGACTCAGTTTTGCGTAAATCAGGTACCTGCGAAACGCCCGGTCCGTCCGGGTCCAGGGGCCAGGGACCGGTCTTCTTGACCGAGTACATGGAAGGCGTGAGCGTTTTGCAGGGCCGTGCTGGTGGCGTTTGGCGTTGGCGTTCGTGCCATCGTTTTTCATGGCGTGACGCGTTGCGTTTGAGAGATGCGGCAGGTTTCTTAGGTTTGTTTAGGGTTGGATGTTTAGGGTGTGGCTTTTCCAGGGGTTTGGGATCTTCTGAAGGTGTGCAGCTGGCGAAGTACATGGTGGTAGGGCAGGTGAAAGGAAGATGCCTTAAAGTTTTAAAGGTTACTGTACACATGTCCTCTTGCTTTGGAAGTGGGTAAGTGAAGTGCCTGCTTTGCTGTGCACAGAAGTTAAGAAGTTCTTAAGAAGCATAGCAATGACCAGAAGTGAATCAACAGTTGACGGAAATTATTGTCAAGTTGCCATGCTCACGGAAGCCACCGTCTTCCATCGCTGCGTCTTCCATCGCAGCTGGCGATCAATCCACTCCTTGACGATCCAGTTGCTGAAACTGTCTAAGATATTCCCAAACCCTACACCTCCAAGTAAGTACCTCCAGAGGTTCGGTATGACTGGACCCTCCTGGCACGCACACAGGCCCCCAGTCATACCGAAACGAAACGGTACGACTGGGTCGGCCAAGGTCCGGGAGGTCCAGGGGATCCATTGTGATGTCAGAAATGATGCCAAACCCCACCCGTTACGCCGCTTTACCTCCTTCTGCAGCATCATCTCCACAACAGCAAGTGCTTTTGCTTCCAGTTCCTGCGCTTAAACATTTAGTGGTGTGCAAGCACCCGCGCAGTCACCAGTACTGGTGGTTCGTGTAGGCAACCTTTGTCGAAAAGTGTCATCTGCGCAGCCCGTCGGTGTATGCGCCCGAAAACTGTGCGAGAATTCCTTGGACCTACGGAGAACACTTCAATCAGTACTGTCACACACACATCATGCATGCAAAATATTGTGTTGGTCAAAATCAAATCTTCATGTCAATCCCAGACATTCCCAGACCATTCATCGTCTGGAATAGATGCCTGCGCCCTGCAATTGCTCCAATGGGTGCAGACTGGACATGACTGGACCCTTTGGACAATCTGGGATTTTCTGAAGGGTCTGACGGTCTGACATTGTTTGATGGGACCTTGTTTGACGGAAGACAAGAAGAACTTGCTTTGGATTGGCTTCACGTGGAAGACATGGATCCCCATCCTTGACCTTTGGTGAAAGAGGCTGGTTTGTGACCCAAAAGTACTGCCGATAGCACAGTCTATCCGGTAGCTCCTCCAGCAACCGGTCTGTTCTCCGCACACGACCGGGCCACACAACTCCTCTCGGTCCCAATGGAGCCACAGACCTCGGTGGGCCAGGTGGGGACGTGGAGAGTTACATGAAGAAGCAACGTGAAACCTCGCTGGGGGGGCCCTGGGGGAACGCAGGCAACGGAACGGCGGATGGCAGATGTGGATGGCAGATGGTATGTTTCACCATGGTGGATGCAATCAGGTTTCACATGGGTTTCACCATCTTGCTTTTTTTTCCCAAGTTGGTGGTGCAAAATACAGGTCACGTCAGGTTCGGTAAGAACGATAGAGGTGTGGGGAGGGAGCTTTCGTCGTGTTGAGCCAGGTTGAAGGATTGTGCCATCTTTCGTCGTGCCAGGTCGTGATGAGGATTGTGGATGCCTTGTTTGATGGATTCACGATCGACATTTCTTCATATTGCTTCCAAAGCTAGTGTTGTTTTGTAGGCATGTTTGTTTGAGAAGCATACCACCAGTGAAGAGGTTGCAATGGATATGCAATGGATGTTTACTGTTCCTCCCTCATCGGCAGACCGAAAAAGCCGCGTGGAACAGCCGCTGGTTTCAGCAACGCCTTAGGGTGCCTGCCGCATGACGGACGCCGCATTACGGTTTCACTTGGTCCCTACAAGTCAAAGACTCAATGTCTATCTCATTTTACTGCAACCGGTCATATTTATACAACAATACTCAAGGAGGTCAGGTCAGGTTAAGTGACCTGATAGGACCCTACCAGGGTACCCAACTGGGGTAGTCGAACTAGGGTTCTGACCCACCTCTGTTGGTGATAGGAACTGAACTTAGGGATGGGCTAGGGTTTAGGGGCGATATGATAGGGCTGTTCAACCTCTCTTGCTCGGTTTGGGTCACAGGTCTCCTAAGGGCTCCTGAGTCCTCAAAAGGTATAGGGACAGACCTTCCTGACACACCCCATCCGAACCTGAAGATGTGGGACAGGAGCCCTACTGTAGGGAAAGCCTTGGATTTTGTGACGTTAGGAGGAATGTTCCCGAACTAGTTTGCCCACCCCCCTTTTAATCGTCCGAAAGTGGGATAAACCCGATTTTGTCGCATCCCTGAGGTCGTCGTCAGGTCGTCGTTCCCGCCTTGCAAATGAACCAAGTGGGACTGCGGTGTCACATTCCAAGAGAGGTTGAAGAATCCTCATATAGATATGCAAACTATCCCCAATACTAGTAAGTATCCCACGTAGGTACTCGTACCCCTGGTTACGGTTGCCTTTTCAGGTCACTTAGCCTTTCTTGGTTTACCACTCACGGCGAATAGGACCTCAAAATGATGAAGCGACAAATGGAACTCCTGCAGGTGCTTTTCAAAGTTGCTGGCCGCTCCTGGAAGGGGCGCAGATGTTTTTGTTAAATCATTATTTTGGTGTTTGGGACCTCCAAAAGCGGGGGAACAATAGATCATCTTTAACAAGAGAACACGTTTTCGGGGAGGTGGGGGATCCATTCGAGCTCGGCGACCCAGATTGGATCATACTTTTAAGCCCAAATTCTCCTTGGCGATGCAATGGATCCTCTCAACGGCCGAGGCGGGGAGAGTGTTTTGTTGGCCGAGGGTTCACCCGAAAGTCGAGCCCAGCGGGGCAGGGGTGGATGGTGTCATGCGTGAAAACAAGAAGATGACCCGCACATCATGGCGTTGATGGCATGATTGGCCCCAAGCAAAGCGATGAATTTGATCATTGGGGCGGCCTGATAACATTACCAAAAAAAATCAGCTGCCCTAAGGATCCAGACCCTCAAAAACTAAAGATTTGGCTCAGGGACTCAGGGCCCCAAACCCCTGTTATAGAGGGTTGGACCCCTTGTTGAAGATGTCGGGTCCAAGGATCCTCTTAAGCGGCGATCCCAGAATCGCAATGTCTGAAAGACCTTGGATCTGTGGTTTCAGAGTAGACGGCACAAGCCCCAATATCGGTGGTTTATATGGACCCCGATCTAAACATCCTCTTGGGGCTTGCACCATCTACTCTGAAACTACTGAGGAACTGGATCTGAGGTGAACTGGAGGATTGTAAGAAAAGATCAATAACAGATAAGAACCGTTTCTATGATATTCTATAATATGGAAGGTCTTCCAGCTCAACGGGGTCTTTGGTCTATTGTTCTTCTTCCAGGGGTTCCTTGCCTGGGAGGCCCTATTTCCCATGCTTCTTGGGAGGTTGGATCCTCAAAGTTTGGGGGTCCTCAGGTTCCACCGTCACGCATGCGCATGCGCCCGGACTTCCACCGTCCTCACCGTTACCGTCCTGGGCCGGTGGAGCGCAGGAGCTGAAGACACGCTTCCCGCAGACATTCCAAGCAACCCCACAGGGGCCCTAGGGATCCCAAGTAATTACCTCCTCAAAAGGTACTTGGACCCTCCTGGCACCCACCCCAGTCCCACCTTCTCAGAGGGTACGACTGGATCCTTGGGGGGGGGTGCTACACGCTACAGGCGGCACTAGACCGAGCCTCCCAGCCCCGCATCGAGGACCAGACCCCTCCGGCTACTGGTGGCCCCAAATCATCGGGTGGCCGTTGGTGTCCTACAACGAGTGGCCCCTGTGAGGCATCGAGTTCGAAAAAGAACACCACAACGATCACATGACACACCAAGAGAGGTTAAGTGACCTTCTAGGACCCTGCTACTAGTAGGGTATCTATATGATACTAGATGGGATAGTGTATTGAGTTCTTCAACCTCCGTTGGCACAATCGTGAACAATGCAATCCCCAAGGGCCCCTAGGGCTCCTGTCCCTCAGGTGGGATTCGACCCCCCCAAACCGGCCCCACGCCAGTCCCACCGAACCGAAACGGAGCTAGGCGGCCAGGCATGCGTTTTCGCACGCACGACACGCACGGCACCAGGCTTTGGCCTATTTGCACGGCTTGCCACAGCCCATCATCCACCGCGACTTGAAGCCGCTGCTCGGAGTGGGGTCGAGGGTTTGCGGCTGCGGTGCAGCATGGGTTATATAGCATGTTAGCACTACCCAAAGAATTTGGACCCTCAAAAACAAGGGTTTGGAGGGTACTATAGAGGCCTACTTAGGAGGGTCCAAGGATGCTTATAGGGTCCTAAGGATGCTAAAAAAGGGTCCTTTTTGGCCAAGGAAAATAGTAAGTACGTATGGAAGAAAACAACCTATCGCTGTGGAGTACTTGGTACTTCTAGTCTAAGTGCAAATGACATCTGGTTGGTTCCCCACCAACACGAAGACACCCCGTAGGCCTCGTAGGGCCCGAAACGTCTCAAGGATTGATGATATCGAGGCGATCGACGAGCGCGCTGAAAGCCACTGAAAGGCTAGAGTTCTTGGGTTCGGAAGAGATACATACACCCTAGGGATCCGTTTTCGTACCGAACCTCAGGTTTGGTGAGGAAGGAGACTCTGTTAGCTGTGGAGGGTGCAGTCGTACCTTCTGAGAAGGTACTTGGATCCCTAGGGATATGAACAGTGGTGTCTATATAGGGATACACCCAGGTGAGCAACCAAGTTTGGTAATATATGCTAAACGGGCATCGACCAACTTGCTTGCTCAGCGTTGCTCAGTGTGGACCGAGGCTTAATTTACTATTGACCAAGGAGCTGAAGCTCAAGGCGTGCAAGTTGGGAGCAGGGGTCAGATGGGATTTAGGGGGAGACAAGGCAATGGATGCCTTGAGGCAATGGATGCAGGTACAGCAGATTTTGCCCGCAGACATTTCTACCAACTCTCAGGCTTGAGGGTTCAGGCTTGGTATGTCCGAACTGAGTAAGCGCTGAACATGGGCCGCACCTCTAATACGGCAAAACAAGTTTCGCTGTTGGATGAGATCCATGACTTTGGGTGTCCTGGTTTCATCTTCTTGTCGAGCGCGATGTTCGAGTGCCACACAAGTGAAGTCGTTTCCCAAGTTAAATCCCAGAAATTCCAGACACTACTGCGCTCCAAGAACGGTGGGCATACCTACCCATCACCTACCCCTTGAGTAAGTCCCGCACGTAAATCCGGTTGATGACCATGTTTGGTCGTTCTTTTATAGATGAAACGACCTGCTCTGGAGGTGCCCCAAACGACGACACCATCACATTCCGCGTCCTCCAGGTCACAGATTTGGGCCTTAGCAAGGCTGGCAGATCACTTGCAGGGGGTGGGGGGGGGAGGTGGCTGGGCATGGCTTTGGCGATACTACAGCTGCCCTTGGTTTTTGGACGGTGATGTATGGTGATGCGAGTGACCATATCCTAGACACTCCATCTATGACATATTTGCCTGTCTGGGTATATTTATGTTCCCAAATTCTTGATCAAGTCGAGTCCCTTGGCGGAAAGAGTTCGGTCCCAATTCTACGAACAGCACATCCAGTTTCTGCCCTTGGACGCAGGTCCCAAAACCACCGAGGCAGAGAATCGTTGAAGGACCCAGTCATGGGAAGCTCAAAACCTGCCGGGTGGACCTGAACTGGGTCTGGGTGGTGCAGTGGTCGTTTCAGAGATGTTTGTTTTCAATCTTTTACTTGGGATGATTGAACCCACTGACTAATAGTACGTAATAGTAACTATATAGTCGTTTTCAAGCGAGTTGAAATCGCAGGTGAAAGGATACCCCAGACACTCCATGTATGGCTGTATCAGCTAATTTTTACATATTATATCAATATTTATATATACTATACCCACGCATTGTCCCCTCAATCCACCACTGATCGGTTCATATGCCAGTCCCATCAGTCGTGTCCACTGCTTCGGACCTTTGCCTGGCACCTGAACTGAGGGACGGAAGCAGATGTGGTGGACGGAGATGGATGGATCCTAATAACCTTCCAACCAAATCCGGATATGGAGATCTACATCCCTAGGCCTCTAGTCGTACCTTTCGAGAAGGTGGGACTGGGGTGGGTGCCAGGAGGGTCCAGTCATACTTTCTGGGGAGGTACTTGGAGGTGTAGGGCAAGTATAGTGTAGCTCCTGTTTTTTGTTCAATTGCAATTGCAAAAAGGAACCAAAGCCTTTAACGTTCAGTTCAGGTGATGCCGGGCCATGGGCAGAAAGCCTCGGATCCGGTGAAGATGACCGGAGGAGCGCCATGTCAGCACGGAGGAACCAGAGTCCTTGTGGTCGTCGGTTTGGAAAGAATTGGGCCTACCAAGAGAGGTTTTTTGAGACCTGAACTAGGACCCTGTCCTGGTACAAGATGGGAGAAGCAAACCATGGGGATGTTCAAGCTCCCTAGGTCAGAATGACGCTGAAGTCGGTGAAAGGTTCGTCCCAGTGGACGCTCCAGTGAGATGGGATGATAGGATTCACATGGATTGACTGATTCCCCAGCCATGGGACTTTCAACCAAGACGTACCCTGCTGTATAGGCACTGTATAGGGAAATATTGAACACGAGGAGGATCGATATATATATATATATATATCCCTAGGGATCCAAGTACCTTCTCAGAAGGTGATTGGAGACACTGTTATGTAGGTTTTGGAGGGTCCAAGTACCTTCTGAGAAGGTACTTGGATCCCCAGGGTATGGAAAATCGATTAAGAAAGGCGTAGGTGGGGTTCTGCGGAGCTTCCACGACCACCCACGCCCACGCACTTCGCATCCCACCAGGGAACCTGAAGCTCGGGATTGACTTTGCCTAAGAGAGAACCTCCATCATAATCATTTACAAAGACATGCTGAGGGCCCTAATCCAGGAGGGAGATGAATGAGCTTAGTGAGTGTGTTGCATAGAACAGGTGGCATGGCCTGAGATTGGGACGACGTACTGCGGCAGCGCTTAGCAAATGATTCATCAGGAGCAGGAATGTGCCCCTACATGTTCTCCCACTCCAATCCCACCAGGCTGGAAAGTTCCGTATACCTGGACCCTCCAGTTCGTACCTGGGACATGACCCCATCAAAACAGCTACGACGCCAGGGCCCCATTGAACCCGAGGTACGAGTTCCGGGTCGACTCCAGGTAGGTCAATACGCCATCTAACCACTGTATATAACCATTGTACACACACCCGGGAAAATTAACATAGAACCTGAAAACCACTGGGTTGTAGAGGCGAGTAGTCCAAAGGTCCATTTTCAGGTTACATGTTCATCTTCCCAGGTGTATATAACCCCTACAAAATCCATCGATCTTCCGATCTTCCGATCGTTCGGCACGGCACTTCGCTCCACCCCGTCGGACACCATGGACCGTCCGGCACTAAACCCTAAACCCTAAACCCTAAACCCACCATCGAGACGCCGGCGGTCCGAGGTGGGTACTTGGCGCTATATGGCGCCGGAAATGGTGCGCCACGCCGGGACACCCGAGGAGGATCTGGATCCAAGAAGACCACGCACGGTGCGCCACGCTTTTGGGGGGGTGGCCGGTGTTTGGGTTTTTGCGGGTGTTCTGGTTTTACTTACAGGTGATGTTTAAGATGTTCCGTTCCTTATAAAGGATAATTATGATGTTTAAAAGTTATACCCTACACCTCCAAGTACCTCCCCCAAAAGTATTTGGACCCTCCAAACCCACCCCAAACACCTTCTCAAAAGGTACTTGGAGGCCTAGGGATATATACCAGACCCCTCTAAGAGTTCCAACGCAGGCTTTCGTAGACTTCACATGTTGCAGGTGGTTTTCGGACTGCGGGGAGCGGAAGCGAGCACGGGAAGCTGCAGGTGGCAGCACAGCTGGGAATAGATCTCAATGCCTCCTCTTGGAGTGGATGGAGACTGGAGATTCTGGAAGCCCCCATCTCAAAGATGTGTAGGGGTCCGTTTTGGGGGGTGCCATCGTGCCATCGATGATACCGCTGTTCTTTGAAGGCTCCTACTATAACCAACGGTTTGCTGAGGAGCACTATACTGATCGTATTGACATCTACGCGCTGGCCTTGATCGTCCCTTTGGCGGCAGGAAGTGCGACATGCCGGACATGATCCTGGATTTTTGGAGTAGGGTTGAGAGTCCAAAATGGACCCCTCAAAAGCATGACGCCTAAATAAGAAGTTAAGCCTGTGGAAGGTGAGATGAGGATGAACCCCTCAAGAACAAGAAAATGACACACAAACCCATCCAAAACCTGATTGGTTTGGACTCCTCTACTCCCATCAGACCACCGCCTGAATATAATGTACAATCCATTCGACCCCTGTTTAAATAGGAAAGGACCTCACAAAGGTTCTAGGTTAGTTTCTGTATCACTACAACTATTTACAACTCATTATTATATATACAGTTTTCAGTTTCCACCAGGGTTGGGTAGGTACTGGTAGTAGGGAGAAGCAAATGACAAGGGTGGTATAAAGGATTGCTATATTTTCCTTTTGGCTTGCTTGTACAAGGCTTTCATGGTTGCTTCTCAATCAGAGAGCTGTGGGTATGGGCATGGAAGGTGCGACCATCTTACATGCAGCTTTACATAACATCCAATGGGTGCCCAATGGACTACCCTGCACTGCTTAGGGATCTCCATTGGACACTCATTGGATGGTCCAGGTATGTTTGCGTTGTATCATTGTTCACTTCCAATGCCGGTTGGAGCCATGGGCATTCACCTGAGATAGCAACATGTAGGAATCTCATATTCAGACTCATGCACTACGAACCCATACACACATACAGACAGACAGACATACATGCATACATACATACATACATACAGCCATACATACATACATACATAAATCCATCCATCCATCCATCCATCCATCCATGCATGCATGCATGCATACATCCATCCATACATGCATACATACATACAGCCATACATACATACATAAACCCATCCATCCATCCATCCATGCATGCATGCATGCATACCATACATACATACATACATACATGCATGCATGCATGCATGCATGCATGCATCCATCCATACATACATACATACATACATACATGTATTACATTACATTACATTACATTACATTACATTACATTACATTACATACATACATTACATTACATACATACATACATTACATACATACATACATACATACATACATACATACATACATACATACATACATACATACATACATACATACATACAT